GACCCTCTGTGGTTTAAGCTTCCACTTAAAAACACACTTCAGCACGAGTTCTAAGCTTTCTGTTTGCAGGAGAAAGGGTGCTCTAGGGTGGGTGGGCTGCAGAGGCGACACCCCAGCAAAAAGCTGGTCCCAGCACCAAGTGAAAGAGGGGAGACAGGAGGATGCAGCTCTGCTCAGCTTTTGTCTTCTGAAGCTATCAATGGGAAGCAGCTCCTCAGGGAGCTCTGCTGCTGGCGTAGATCAGGCCTTTTGGACAAAGGAGATGTCATATTTTGAGGCTATTCTGTGTTCACTGTGAATGTCTACTGAGGTCACCTCCGTAGGTGACTGTACCCACTCTAACTCAAGCGTTTTACAGCAGTGAATGTTCATTTATGTGCTCTGTAAATTATCAGCCAGCTGTGGCTCTGTGGAAGTAGCAGACTTAAAGGTAGACAGATTACAAGGGATTCCTTAACAGCGTGTGTGTGCATGCACAAGGTTAGCTTTCGCCTTTTACCCTAAATAAAGTGGAGTTACCTGCAGGGAAACTTCTCTGCCTTCAGGGCCAGGCAGGGCCTCTGCTTCCATACTGATGGCAAAGCACTCACTGTACTCTGAGCATTATCAGGTAGGAGCACTGGAATTTGAGGACAAACTAGGCAAAAATATTAAGATTTATACCACAAGTTGACTGCTGCTCTGAAGATTAAAGTTTGTGTGAACACAAATCCCATGTGTTCTCACCAGCTCTAGCGTTGTCTGGGTTTTGTGATTCTTTTTGTAATTACTTAAAAGTTTGATGTTACCCTAACTGAGGCCAAGATGGGGTTTGTACCTTGGGAGGCTGACTATGCCTCAGCCAAGCTTCCCTTCCACAAGGTACATGTCACGTATTGTATCCACCCTGCACACAGTGATAGCATCCTGAGGCTGCAGACTAAGGGACTTTTGATCCACTTCACAGAACACTGCTGCAATTCCATAGGTGGAGATGTATGCAAAAAAGTTCTAGCATATTTTTGCTTCATTTTTTTTTTTAATTCAGTCATAGTTCAAAGAGACTGTTCAGTTTGAAAGAAGAGGATTCACAGAGTCCCTTAACCCGAAATAGCTAAAGGCCTAAATTAAACAAACCTAAACGCTTTGGTTACTATTTCTGTGCAGCAAGCCTGTATTTTCAAAACCCCAGTGCTAAACCTGTAGGTTTCCACACCTGTTGGGGCATATTAGGCCAATGAGAGTCAGTCCAAGATGATAAAATTACAGGGTTGTGTCTTAACTGAAAGCAAAACTCATCACCTTGGACAGACTTAGATGCAAATTTAGTCTTCTACACAATAGCAGAGCTAGTGAAGGTGAAGACTTGTTCTGCCTAAAATTAGTGGTTGCTAAACCCATCTGCACAGCCCGTGGCATCTCCCATAAATGAGCCTCAGCCATTCACCTCCCAGTCCACTCTCCCCAGCAGCTTGGTCTGATGGACTCTCTCCCAGTCTGTTCCCCAGTGCAGCCGGTTCTGCCCTTCCAGCTCTAGCCCAGCAGAGTCGTCATGGACACTGCCGGAGGCGACAGAGGGCACTCCAACAGCATCACATCCCCGTGTGGCCTCTCAGGCGAACAGTGCAGAGGAAGGAATGAGCTCTGCACAGTGGGCAGAAGAATCTGTTAAGTCAGCAAAAGAAATACTTGAAGGAGATCATAGAACAAGACTGAGAACAGTCTTTGGATGGTATATTTTTATTATATACTTCATAATTGCTATTACAATGTTGGAGGCAGAGTCTTAAAAGAAGTGTGAGACTGCATGTGGCTAGAGGTAAAGAAATGTAACAGCACTAAACTAACATTCCTCAACACACTCATTTCTCCTTTCTTCCCACCAAAATGGAATATAAACCCCCCCCTCAGGTTTAAAACATTCCATTGGAAGTTCTAAGCAAAAAAATAAACAGTTTTTAATAAATAGAAATGCTCTCTTGATTCCATTGTGTTGTGTCAGCTTCACATTCTTTTTTGTATAAAATATCGAGTGTTAACTCTTTTAAAAGTTTATTGGTAAGATTCAAAGAGCAATCATTAAAGCCTGGAGCATAGGTACTTTGTTTTTTAAATAGAGCACAGCTTTTATAAATAGCTAGATACAGAAAACAATAAAATAGACAAAGCAGTAATACAACTGGATGTGAAACAGTGTGTTTCCAGGTGATATTTCAACTTCTGAAGCCAAACTGTCTCCAACAGGAGCAACTATTTACATATTAAAACATTTACATTTGGGAAAACATTTAGCTCCCACATTATTCCACTTGCACTGTACATTCAAACGGAACAATATTTGGTTCTTCAACATAAAGCACCTTATATAATATTTTAAGCACAAGATAAACATTCTGTGAGTCAATATCACACCTTTGGGGGGGAGTGTTGGACAAAGATCTGGACTCTGGATTAATCAGCTACACATTAGTTAAACACAGAGTACTAAATTCAAGTTCAAAAGACAAGTCCAGACAGATTTTCCTAAAGAGGAAAACTGGATGGAGAGGGACTTCCTGGGTCTGAAAGCCCTGACCACTGCTTTTGCTGACATCCCTTCATACAAGCCTCTTTCAGAAGTGCAACAGCATTTTGCCTTCTACCCACACTACCTCTAACAGAAGCTGTCTCACAACCTAACAGCTGTTACAGTGAAAAAACTTCACCTCATCTGAAGCCTTGATTGATCACAACCACCTTATTTACAAACTGGTCTTTAACTTAGTGATTTCCTCTCTCCTGCCAGCATTTTACTGCTCCTTATTCCCCCATAATCATTTCTGCCCCTCATTAAGTATCCTGCTTTTGAAAAGTAACCTTATGTTGCTGTAACTGGACAAATGCTGGGTTTCAGAGAAAATGGAAAAGCCTAGAAAAAACATCTGCATTGGGAAAAAGTTGGCAATGAAACCAGCATTCCACTGTAAACATTCAGCCTACCTCCAGTTTAGACAACAAAAGGCAGAAGCCAAAGTGCTCTAAAAATATATTTGGAAATAATTTAACAAATTCTTCATGCTGCTTTACCTCCCAACCAGGAATTTAACCCGAAATTACTACTCTATTTCCTGCAGGAAGAACATGGTGCCTGTCATTTACACGCCATACAAACGATAACCAGCACCTGCAGACATGAAATCCCCCTCTGAAAGCGTGGGGTGCCTGGAGCTACCTGGTGTCTTCACTGCGTGATTAAGACCAGCCATCAGCATAATCAGACAACAGTACACAGATTCACCTTTCATTCTGCAGAACCTTGCCAAGAACACCACTGAGAACAAGAGCGGATAGAGAAAACTGAAATCTTTGGAAACATGGTTGTGGAGCACTAAGAGTAAAACCCACCATAGTACAACCAGGTAACTATCTGCTTTGTAAGAAACACCTTTGTTGCTGAAAACTGAGAACATCACCTTATGGAATGACTTGCCAGTAATCTATCTCAGCATTTCTAAACACTACAATATAAACATCTAATTCAAAATATAATCAATATTCACACAGAGATATTAAGAACCTAAAACCTGCAAGAGAAATATGTTGTTTCTTAAATTAGTGGCAGCAACAAATGATGATGTTCTCCTCCCTGCAAGATATCAAGCACATTGATTTACTATCAACACATTCCATAGCACAACTCTTCTGTTTTCACACACTGGTATTTTTCTGATAAAATCCAAAAGCTATTTACTTAAGAATTCTTACATACACAATCTATGCACTGACATCAGACTTCAGATTAAAAACTAGAACATTACAGAGATCTCCCTATTGTACTCCAAAAGGAGCATTTCTCCTCTACAAGTACAAATTGGAACTGCATGTTTACACCATGGACTGTATTTTGTAATGCAATTCACCATTATTGAACCTAGTAATTGCTGCAGCCAGCCACCTCAGCAGAGGATTTAAACAAGGTTTATTAAGTAACAAACAGGTAGGTAGCTACTGGCTGATGAACACCTCTTTCTCATTGAGAATATTTTCAATAATAATGATCAAACCCTGCAATTTTGATACTTCAGTAACAAATGAAGATTGTCTTAATTCAGAAAGCCTGGATGTAAACAGTCCAAGCAAAGGAGGTTTAGATCAATCTATGGAGTGGATTCTGGACCATTCCTGGTTATACATGCACTGAATATCTTTACAAGCAATTGCTGTTAATGGAGTATCTGACACAATTCTTTGACGGTGTCATATCTGCAAAGACTGAACTGCAAAGATTTTAAAGGCAATCTGTGTGACAGCAGTCTACTCTGGTTCACCTATAGAGTCCTAGTAGATACTGGTAGTGAGCACTAACTACATTGCTGCCTTCTTAAGGCTAAACATTTCTGCTACATCACATCACATTCATACTGCATTAAGATGCTGCAGGAGTTTTTGGCTTAGGAGAGGTTGGGAATGAGCAAAGTTCCCAACCCATTCAACCTTCAAGGAGACAATCTTAGTAATAAGGAGTGTACTGGGGCATGGATGTGTAGAGTTAAACATGCGTATGATGTCAAAGCAAACCTCTCAGTTCTCTCTGCCTCACAGGAATCCAGATCACAAACAGTGAGATGATTTGAGGCTGGGAGTGTGAAAAGCTGGAACCAGATGTCTGTAAAAGGAAAAGGCATTTGAGAGGAACCATTCCTGGTAGAAGGCAGGCTGTGGGAGTGAGAGGGGTCCTTGAAGTTCTGAAGTAAGGCACATCCATCTGCAAACGCAGAACCTTCAGCATTTTGCAGATGCAGTCATTTGTAATTTTTTTAACACAGTACTAAACTTGACTGCTAAAAACCAGAAAACAGAAACCAACAAACCCCACCAAACACAACAACAACCCTGGAAAGTCACTGAAACAAACCAGCTTTCTACAAGAGGAAATAGATCTGAAAAGCCCTGCAGAAATGATCAGTACATGCACAGACTTCTAGGCAGCTGTCTTGGTTGGTTTTCCATTTTGCTTCAGGGTTTTTTGCTTGGCAGGGGTGGGAGGGAGGGGGCAAGTCCTTCACAATGCTGTGTCATCATCTTCTCCGAAATCTCCCACCAAAAGTGAATGCTTATCTGGTTCAGTAAGAACTACACTGTTCACTGAACGCTTGTCTGAAAAGAGAGAGTTTATAGAGGCTCTACTGTAATTGATGATTCGATCCATTAAGCTCAGTTTAGGTGAGCCTGTCCCAGTCTCATCAATTCCAATGTGGACACTGATTTCCGATGGGCTCTTGTGCCTCATTTGGCCACGGGCCCGGAACTCAAGTTTCTCAGGACTTGGTTTCTGGTACCTAAGGAAGGAAAAACCAGAAGATGCCAAATACATCTCGGGTTGAAGGAAAGTGCACCAAAATACAGAAAGTAACTACTCTATGCGCTGTGATCATGCACCAGCCAGAGACATTTATAATGTGATCTCTTACACAGTGATGAAAGCTTCAGATTTAAAGGCTACTATCCAACCAGAGGCTAATTCAGTGCTTTTTGGCCAGGACACAGAACAGGTAAAGCTGACACACATCATTCAGTATTTAACTGCTTAAGTGGTGCTGAGCATCTGCAAAACATGTTGGCAAAATGCATATACTTGGAGTGTACCACTGTAGCTACCATTTACCAACTCTTCTGCTCTCCTTCTGAAACCTCATGTGTTAAGTAAACAGTAAAAGGTACCACAGTGCTACACTGCTCCTAACTGCAGAGTAAGGAACAGCAATGCAATGACAAATGCAGCAGATTGGTTTGCTTACTACAACAATCCTGTGTCAATGTGGTGTTCACAGCTGCACTATCTCAGAAACCAGTGTGTCCTGACAAAGGCCACTAAAGAGTTCTTCATTGTGAACATGCTTCTGACTTGTACATTTCTCTTCACATGAGAAATGACATTTTCAAACACTACTGTCTGAAGCACTTTGGACCAACTGACTCCTCTTGAACACAGACCTGTCTGAACTGTTCTGTCACAGTCCCACACTTACTTTCTGCCACTCTTAGCAAAAGACCTGAGCTTCAAATCCAAATTGCAAACCAGAGAGTTGTTCATACTCACATCTTTAATAGCAAAGAAGAAAGCACAACAGAAACAGAGGAGGCAGCCATGGCTGCAGATCCCATCCAGGGCTGCAAAACCAAACCAATGGGCAGGAAAACACCTGGAAAAATAAGACAGCAGTAAGTTCAGAGCAGGAACAGCATTATTCATGTATTAACACATGCAATTTCACATGGACTGTCTAATTTTAGTTGTATTTTAATATGTTAATAAATAGCCATAATGTGGGAAGAGGACAGCTCACAAGCAATACCACTGCAACATCCCCAGGCAGAGAACTCTGCAGTTACTGGCAGTCAGAAACAGAGAAAATAGATACTCTTCCACACAAGAGTAAATCACTGCCATCTTCTGCCCACGAAGAACAACCTGATTTTACTGCAGGGAAACATTCACATACCAGCAGCTATGGGAACTCCAACGAGATTATAAATTAGAGCAAAGACAAAGTTGATCCGGATCCTTTTCACAGTTTTCCTTGATAGATCTATACTTGCTACCACATCCATCAGGTCATCCTGCAAGTTAATATGTTCATTAGAGAGGTCAAAGAGAGGGGGAAAAAAGCATACATGTAGTCATCATACTCTCATTTTCAAGCTAACTACCATACACTGGATGTAACAGACTATATGTAGTAAGTATTCTGTATGCTGCTCTAGTTTGTCCACATAGAGCCCATAGAGCAGCCCCAACCTTACTCCACATGTCACTGTAATTCAGATAATGTACACAGCACCACACAGTTCAGCTCTAGACACTGGCCACTATTTCTGCCAAGGGGTTGTTGTTGATGTGCAGGAAGCAATGACTATAGCCCTTGGAGGCACTGTGGTATGTTACTGAAACATAACTTACATTTGCCAAAGGTCAGGTCACCTTTTCCTCCTCTGCCCACTCTCAAACTTTACTTACCCCAAAGCTCTGTGCCCAGAAAATAGGAAGGGTTCCCTCACAGGATAAGTATCACTACACTAACCAAACATGATGAAGACAATCTCTGCTCCAGTTCTGCTGGCTTATGAAGTTGTACACGCCAGCAGTGCCTGAACCGTTCAAGACATCCTGGGCCTTCTAACCCTTCTCATTTCATGCTAATGAAGCACTTGTATTTCTTACCCTAATTAGAACCACATCAGCTGCCTCAATGGCTACATCAGTACCAGTGCCAATAGCAATTCCCACATTGGCCATAGCCAGAGCTGGGGAGTCATTGATGCCGTCTCCAACCATGGCCACCCGCTTTCCTTCGTCTTGCAACTGTTTCACTTTGGCTACTTTGTGGGAGGGAAGAACCTCTGCGAACACTTTGGTGATGCCAACCTGAAGAGAGAGAAAATACAAACCTGTCTTGCAGCTTTCCTACTATTAAAGCTTCTACCTTCAATAGGAAGGTTGAAACCCATGTGATGATTCACGAGCTAAAGACCAAACCCATCTGATATGAAAACAGCTCTGAATTCCAAGTTGACGCTGCTTCCATTGAAAAAGGCTTCTTTTGTTCCCCCTCCTTACTCTGAATGTGTTTACACCACCGTTTTTCACAACAGCCCAGTTCTATGCCAGCCACAAGTGACAGCATGAAACAACATGCTTCCTGTGAGTGGTTTGTAGCAAGCTGCAAACCCAAGCACGTGTGTAACAGCTTACCTGAGAGGCAATAGATCTTGCTGTTTTGCTGTTGTCACCAGTCATCAGGACAACTTCTAATCCCATACTCTTCAGAGTGTACACTGCAAGCTCAGCTTCTGGTTTCACAGTATCAGCAATAGCTATCAAGCCACAAAGAACTCCTAAAAGAACAGAAAGAATGTGTTTGTAACTTTTTCCCCCTAAAACAATAACATCCTTTTCCCCCCCAGTAAGATCAATTCCAGAAACAGTAATATTGACAATAAAAAGCAGAACGAGAACAGATATCAAGACAGCAGTGTTTAAGGCAAGACAGAACATGGACTGTCCAACAACAATAAAAATATCCCTTTTTTCTCCTTCTCTTTGAAGTCTTTACATGATTATTTAACTAATACTTAAGTATAATTTTAATTTAATTATATTAGCATATTTAAATTATACAACCCAAACATTTTAAAATATTGGTAAACATTAATATTTAAGATATTATAATAATGATTAATATTATTAACAATATTATTAGATACTAGGAAAAAATTCCTCACTATGAGGGTCGTGAGAGATTGGAACAGGTTACTCAGAGAGGGCAGAAGCTGTGGCTGCCCCATCCCTGGCAGTGTCAAAGCCAGGGTGGGCACA